ACTACTTACTACTGTGTGTGTGCACTTGGATGGCACAAATTCCGAGTATGGGTCACCATACTTGGCCACATGTCACTTTCACTTCACTTGCTTGTCCGTGTTCTGTTCCGTCTCTGAGCGCATGTTCCTCCTGAGGAACAGTGCAAGTTCTCTTTTGCGCTTTTAAAAACATGAATAAATCTAATCAATTTTAATAAATCAAGCACGTCCCATTTTGCAAAAGTCACGTTACATGATTTTACTGATTTGCACGTGAAATTGGGCTTTTATGGAGGAGCGAAAGTGCACCACTGGAAAGGGGGCGGAATAGGGTGGAATAAACGTTTTATCTTGATTATTGTATTTTCATAATCATTGGAGGACGAAATCGAAACTGTATTTCGATGAATTGCACAGCTCTACTGCATTGTAAATAGGCAAATGTACACCGTAATATGTCCATCAATTTAAACATCATGATATAGTGATAGCGGTATACCACTACAAAAGTTAATTTCTCCCGAGCAAACCACACATTTACAGGACCTCTATAGAAGAAAAGGGGAAGATCCTCTTAAATGCATGACCACATGTGGCTTGCCATGTGTCCTGGCTTCCCAAATTGTGTCAGCCAAGCCACTGATTATGTGGGTTAGACTTGGGTCATGTGCAGAAATTCAGAGAAACTAACAAACGATTGGTGCAAGATACAAAATGACGCACTTTTCCCAGAAGCATAAAACATGCAGTTAACAAGCCATTAAATGATACAGTATGTAGGACAGACACTCTTGCGTTTAATTCCTGAGCACAAAGTCTAACACTACTTCCTTAAAGCCAACACTCAACAATCTTACAACTCTCTCTTAAAAGTTACTGCTCCGAAATCAGACACGTTAATAAATCATGAAGGTACTTGAGTGTAAAAAGCACTCAGTTGTTTGTGTATCCTACTGCAGATATATGAGAACAAACTGCAGAGTTCAGATTTCTCGCAAAGTTTCATCATAGCTTAATTGCATGATTTAAAAGCGAAATGTTCAGCGAGTGTAACAACACTTAAATTATTAATCTACAAAAGCTTCTTTAGCAGATGTTTTTTTCAACTGTACAGTATGTGATGAATAAATCTGGAGCTATTGCACAATAACGTACAAAACTCTCACACTAGCTGTGGAACTTCTCTATTATCGCATGAGTTGACATGACTTTAATTCTTGAATGGAGCAATCTCCTGCAGACTTGAGAAATCAACGATTACTCATGCTCCAAAACACACATAACTCTCTTTTTTTTTTTTTTTTTTTTTACAAGGAAAACTTTATTCTTTTTCCTTTTAATACAAAACCTTATGGTTTTTATTATTGCATATTGTGCATTTCCCTATGGTGCCATGCACAGAAAATTATTACGTTAATTCCATCCAAAATAGCTCTCTTCTGGAATATTTTATAAAGATCTATGAATACTATTATCCAACATAGGGATGCCCAGAAGGCATCTGCAAAAAATTTCTGTGCTGCATTCAGGGGAAAATGAACAGCAATGGATTTAAACATACTCTTGTTGAAGGCTGAATGAATAATTAAATTAGCCAAAATATTTAATAACCATAAACAAAAGAAGTTGGAGATGTGTAGATCTTCCAAATCTTGTGGCAAGTACAACTACTACTGGTTCCCCTACACTGTTCCCACTGGCAATAAAAGAGCAACTATCATAACATGGAGGAACATGAGGTAGATGTGTAAATGCTCCACTATACATAACGGGAACTCATCATACCTCTCTCACCACTTCCCTGTTCTCTGCCAAAGGGCAATAAATGAGCATGACACAGCAGCCATGATAGTAAAGAGACCCGAGTACAGTGCAACACTTTCCAGAATCCAAAGCTCACCACATCACTGGGGAGGAAAAGCGAAGCTTGAGCTTGCAGCAAAAACAGTAACAGAGGATGCCAGGGCTTTATTAACTTGCATGCGATATGAGGATTCACAAGGAGCCCTTGATCATTATGAATTCACTTACTGATAGCATGTTTAATTAAAAAATAAAAGACAAAAATTCTTGCATGGTGGCTTAAGAATGCTGTCAGTCGCGTTGTTCAATGCTGAACCCGAAATCACGGGTGGGTCATGTATACTAGTCTGAAAATTATTCCTTTTGAGGCTTGGCCTGTTAATTATGCTCATTAAATCATTAAATAAGTCAACAAATATTCCATACATGCATGTCTTTGGGAGGATCACATGAAATCGCTGATTCAAAATATTAACAAGGTGTTGCATAGTGTTTATCACAGTAATGTTGCAAACCTTTGTACCTTTTCTCCTTAAGGGGTGCATATCATTACCTTAAAGGGATAGTTCAACATTAAAGGCCTGTTCACACCAAGAATGATAACTATAACTATAACTATACAGGTGCATCTCAATAAATTAGAATGTCATGGAAAAGTTAATTTATTTCAGTAATTCAACTCAAATTGTGAAACTCGTGTATTAGAACTTTTCCACGACATTCTAATTTATTGAGATGCACCTGTATTAGCGTCTACACCAACGCACAATAGCATTCTGGTTATTATAAGCATTCACCACAGTTTTGTTGTCTGCCTCTTTTAATTCTTGAGCTCTTTAAAAGCAGGATGGATTCTGATTGGCTGTCAATGTTTTTAAGCATTCATCAGCTGAAAAATATTATTCTGAAAGGGATTCCAATGATATTGTTCCTCTGTGGCATAATCGTTAACGTTATGGTGAGAACCCCGCTACTCTCTTCAATTTAGAATGATTTTTAGAACTTTATCTTTATAGTTATAATTATTGTTCTTGGTGTGAATAGGCCTTTATTCCCCCTCATGTTGTTCCAAACCTGTATAACTTTCTTTCTTCTGTAGAACACAAAATAAAAAATGTGAAAGATTTAAAAAATGTCTTGTTGTATTTCTGTCTCTACAATAAAAGTTAATGGGCTCCAATGTTGTTTTGAAACTCATTGACTTCCACTGTATAGACCAAAAAACATGGAAATATTCCTCAAATCTTATCCTTATCTTCAACATAATTCGACAGAAGAAAGAAAGTTGTACAGGTTTGGAACGACATGAAAGTGTGTAAATAAGAAGAGAATTTTCATTTTTGGGTATCCCTTTAAGGTACTAATATATACAATCTTTAGGGGCTGATAATGTACAAAGTTGTTTGCACATATTTTCCAAACAATTTTTCCTCGCTTTTTAATTTAGAGCAGAGCATGGCTCATTTGTCAGATTGCTTTTTAGATCATATCATTCCTGCAGTCCTGTTTATGACATTGATTTATGTTTTGAAATAGTTGGTACACACAGCTGGCCCTCGGTCATTAATAACCGTTAGCGTTTATATTTATGCAGAAACTAACTAAACCTTGTCCTAACAAACACTCTGGTGGGTCTGTACACGGATGGCTTTAGTCACTAAAGAATTTAACCAAATGTGCTGTGTGATGTGCTTAAAACCTATATTGTGCTGTTTAAATTTTCAACACATATGTCTGTTGAGACACGTGTGTGACTGTCTCACACTGGTGTTTTGTCAAAGATGCTCCACTTTTGATGAGTTCGTCACGGGAGAGTGGATAGAACAGAATGGATCATAAGAGCATTGTACATCTGTTAGTGCTTCAGTCAATAAGAAGTTGTTTTTAGTTGGTTAATGTAAATCACAAATGGTTGTAATCCATTGTCAATGATAGGCTCCGATCTGCTTTGTATGACACAACATTTGAGATTACAGTGATGACTCTGCAGTTCTGAACATCTCATTCGACAATAGTGTGGCATTCTTAAAAAATGTCTGTCATCCTGTTTTATCAGCAACTATTTTTTGGACTGAAACGCTAAAAACAGCTTTGGCTGCAGCTGCCCAGTTATTGACAGTGATATGCTTATGGGTGTCAAGGGAGGCCGTCTGTTTAAAAAACAAACGTACAAACTAATTCAACTCTATTTCAAGAACATAGCACATAACATGATGTTAACCGGTACAACTTTATGCGAGAAACATTTGTGGCCCTATGAACTAAATAGAAAGAAAATCAGTTTGTCCAGTATTATTCACATTTTTCTACTTAAAGGTTATGATGAAAGGGAAGTAGCAACCAACCTTTTCTTCCGTATTGTGACGTACATCCAATTGAAACGGATTATCGAAAACGAAAGAAAATGTATGGCTGAGACTTGGTTCACCAGAAGATCAAGTTATGACATTTTGATTAAAATTATCATGTCAAAAAAATTCTAAAATATGAAACATGCATGCTTAAAACTTTACAATAAGATCAATAACATGCATTTAGAAAATAGATAGGGTGGATTTTTATTTTTAATGCCGACTTTAATGCTATACCAAATGCAAAGCATTTTAACTTTAGCATTTAGACAAAATTGAATCTCAAAAGCATTTTTGTTTTCCTTTTGGAAACAATTCACTGAATTCAAATGAACACTTACTTTACACAAATATTTACTTAATATTCACTAAAATATCTGAAAATAGAAAATGTGCATTGTTTAATACTTATTGACAGCCAATCTAGTACAGTTAATGCTGATACTGACAATTTAAAACTAGCAATTTAAATATGAGCAGTTTCCGTTGCACTGTAATGTCATAATGAAATGATATGCATATTAAAAAGAGCGTTCCTCATATGAAACAATGTAGCAAAAACCACATCGGTGAAGAGAAACATAGCGGACAGCTCTAGGAGAGAAGGGAGCATCAGAGGGAAATGAAATTCAGCTTTTAACTCTTCATGATCTCTGAGCAGCGAAGAGGAAAAACATGCAAACGTGTCCACATCTTGAAATCATCAGATTTTCTTTCAGTGTAGTTCTAATAGTGCGACGGATGCATGATGCAAACACTATCAATGATTTTCAGTTTCATTAATGTTTTATATGACACATCGATAGCACACTCAGGTCAAGATCTGGTTTAAAATAACCTGACTTTCCACAAATCTGTTGTACTCACCCATTTATGAACTTGTTTACGCGGCGTGTTTGTGTAGGATGTTTTTCAATGAAGAGAAAAAGACAGAAATCCGCTACTTTCGGGAGATGCAGCCCCCGGGTCGGAAATACTGCAAATGATCACTTAAAATTAAAGTGGAACGCGGCGTCTAAGCATATTTCCTACAGATTATTCTGTCCCTCATTAAAAGGAGCAAAAAAGAGCAGGGGCAACTATGCAGAGGGGGAAGAGATGATGTGGATGTTGCCCCAGCCGTAAAGGCGCTTCACTACAGTTTTGCCTCCGTCGCTTTACGAACCCCAGCTTGCCGTCACTGCGCTCATGAACCGAAAGTTCTCGCGAGAACTGGAGGGATGCGCCGTAATGATCGAGGCCATCGAACGGGATTTTCCGCTGCTTTACAAATAGGCTAAATACCTGGGGCAAATCGCAGGTAATTGTTTCTATATATATATATATATAAAGATGGACTTTTTTGAGGACATATAGCCTGATTTGAGGTTAAGGTTTCCTCGATACTGATCATTATAGAGCTTAATCCCTGAAGTGTAACATATTTGGTTGTTTTTTATGACTTTAAAGTGTTTGAAAAGAATGTAAGCTGTTGGGAGACTTGGCAGTGTTTTGTTTAAACGTCTAAAACTGTAATATTCCCAAATTTGTATACTAAATCTACTACTTATTTCTAAACTGTGTAATGTCAAGTAGAGGGCTGTTGTTACAACCTGTAGCCTAACACTTATAGGAAACATGGTCACTTTGATATGAGGTTATGCTTATCCTAAATAAAATGTTGTGTTATATGAACACTGTGGCTGATTGGACCTAGCCATGTTAAACAAATAATTACAGGTATATTATAGAGCATGGATTCATCTGTATAAAATACAAATGAGATCTATATTTCTATTGTTAAAACAAATAATCCCAAATCCCCATTTGTTAACCTGTGTGCACTTGCAAATATCCTGTTATACTGTTTCCATTAGTCACTGCTGCCACCATGTGGCTATTCTAGGATACAACTGCCGGTTCGAAATAATGTTTGGCCATGCCTCTTTAATGAATATTCAAATATATGATGAATATTTCAGTACTTCTTGTGTTATGTTCTGCTTGGCTTAAGTCAGTGGACTTGAACTGGGCTTTCCCCTGTTGTGTTTTAGTGGGGCTTATCTGAGTGGATCCAAGCTCTATTATAGCACTATTAATGCTGGGATGACTACTAATCACATAAACACACAGAGACAGGGGAATGTGCTTTAGACAGCAGAAAGTGCAGTCAGCTGCTGTGGACTAATGGTGTGGAAACCAAGAGAGAACAGAGACACATGATAGCAACAGAACACAAACAGCACAGAGACAGACTGCAGGTGAAAGCATTGAAAGAGGAAGAAAAAGTCTGCCAGAGAATGCTTTAGGCATCAACATGCCTTTTTTTTCTTGGCTGTTTATCTGATAGAGTCCAACAGTCTTCTCAATATCAAAGATTTCGGATTTGTAGTATTATTCCATTACATCGCTTGCTCACCAATGGATCCTCTGCAGTGAATGGGTGCCGTCAGAATGAGAGTTCAAACTGCTGATAAAAACCATCACAATAATCCACACGACTCCAGTCCATCAATTAACATCTTGTGAAGTGAAAAGCTGCTTGTTTGTAATAAACAAATCCATCAAGATGTTTTTAATTTCAAACAAGTCCTCTTTCCATAATATTGCAATGAAATAGTCATCACGTCTGAACCAGGAGAGAAATATGCACAGATCTACGGAAAGGGTCTAAAACAGTTCTAAACAAATATGTCAGTGGATTTTGATGTGAGAGGATAACAGGGGATTGGCTTTTTCATTAGATAAAGCATTAATATGAATTTGGCCAGAGGCGAAAGTTGTTTCTTACAAAGCGTTTAACTTCACAAGACGTTAATTGATGAACTGGATTACTTTTTATTATTGTGACGATTTTATCAACTGTTTGGCTCTCATTCAATGCAGAGGATCCATTGGGGAGCCAGTAATGTAATGCTAAGTTTACCCAAATCTCTTCTGATGAATAAACAAGCTCATTTACATCTTGTATGGCCTTTTTTATTTATTTATTTATTTTTATTTTGAGTTCTAACAAAATCTATATCTACTGTTATACTGAAATGACTGCAAGATCAGACCTTAAACTTATTTTCTTTTAGATAGTTGCCAAGGCAACATTTCTTATTATGAATAAAAATGACAAAACAGGCAACAAAATTACTAAAACTTTAACTAAAATTAAAATGAAAACGTTCAAAATATAAATATATAAAATAAAACTAACTCAAAGTAATTACAAAAAAAAAAAAAAAACTATAATAGTGTATTTTAGTTACCTGAACATGTCTTCGTGATTCACAGTCTGTATTGTACGTTTAGCCTCCAGGCTTTCAGAAGAGAGGAAGTTCAACCCCTCATCTGCTTTCCAACAGAGCCAGTCACTGTTTAAATTGTACCTTTGCTGTTGAAAGGACTGAGGCAGAAGGAAATCTTTGTCTTGAACTTCATACAATGGAGGCGTAAAGAGCATGAACCTTGACCACATTGTTAATGTACTCGAAAGAAAAAAACGTTGCTTAAATTACACTCAAACGTCTGTTTCATACAGTAGCCTAAAAAATGTCTTCAGTGTAGGAAAAACTGGAATCTGCTATGGAAAAAAAACTGCAGATCAGATGGCTAAATCAACACACTGTCTAAATAAAAATGTTAAGAAACCAAAAGTCTTCTGTGTTGTTTAGGGTTAGAGGATAGAAAATACAATTTGCGCAGTAGCTACAATAACAAAATACGTCAATGGAAAGTCACGTGTGCGTGATTATTAGAGATAAGTGTATATTTCTAAAGTGACGTGACGTGTAGCCAAGTATGGTGTCCCATACTCGGAATTTGTGCTCTGAATTTAACCCATTTTGTGATTGTTTACTAAAATGTCTTTATTTTTTCATAAAGTTTCATAATTTCAAAAGGCATATGAATGTATTTTGTAACATTTATAAGCTTCTATGAAACACTTAAGAGAACAACAGAACGTCAGTTGAACATCTTTCGGACATGAGATTCACCTCCGCCACTCCTGTGACTGATGAAACGTTTACAAACAATCAGTGGCCATGTGGCGTTTTGAGAACTCTGGTACTTGTAGTCTCCTCTGCCTCTACCGTCATTCCTTCAGCCTGCTTTCACGACTACATTTCCCAGAATTCCCCGCGTCACCAGCTGAGTTTGTGTTTTTCGGATGTGATGACGGCAATAAAGCACCCAGCTGACCGTTTTTTTTCCCAGACGATCTTTTTGGTTCGCTGCTGGAGTAGAGATGACCGCCGAGGGGTAGACGAGCAGAGTTTTCACATTTTACATACTGACGAGACTTCCATAACAAACTCTTCACTTTATAAACTGGTAAATTTATGATTGTTTTATTATAAAGTTTATTCTATTCTATTCAGTAACAGTTTTGTAGCTATGATAATTTCAAATATTTGTGTATGAAGCACATCTTGTGACAATTAATTCTAAAAATATTTATTTATAATGTAACCTATGTATTTATATACAAGTCCCGCGTAATCAATGCAAAAAATATTATTTGTGCACTTTTATCTAAAATTATTCCTATCGAGGTATCTATTAATAGTGGGGGACAAAGGAATAACTGCGACACAAAAATTATGGTCTGGCCTTTTGGGAATTTTGACTAAGCTTACAGTATGCTATAAATGTGTTTTAAAAAGCAGTTAATGCCATTTAACTTAATATTTTCGTTATGACTGACTTTAGTCACGATTTGGTGGTATAAAAAAATAGATATATGTGATTAATTTGTCAGTCAACACGTGCTGGCAGGTAATTTTTGAAGTAGATTTTGTTGACGTTCCCTAAATTCTTTGTTTTGATCCACTTGTTGAATACGGAAGTGACCGCTAGAGGCCAGCAGCACAATAAAAGCATCATGTTTAGTCTAAAGGTGAATTCACCTGGAGCAATGAGAGGGCAATGTGAGACAAACAAAAGGTTGCCAGGTTGTCATAACAATGGCAACTTAAAGTGGATAAAGTAGTAGTAGTATAGTAGTAGTATACTTTTATTGTCCTCAAGAGGAAAATTGTTATGGACTAAGTGTGGTAATTTTTGTAGGTTAGGCAAATTTTGTACTTTTATGTTATAAAAACAGTTATTTAACCTTTTAAATATAATATTTAACCTTATTAAAGATAGGTTTACTAGTTAATGTGTGTCACGTTTGCTGGCAACACTTTTTTGACATGATATTGTGTGGTTGTTGTAACATTAGCTACTCCTACATCTTTTGTAAATTTAGCCTGAAAGGCTGCATATGCTTTTTGTTTTAAACTAATTTTAATTTCATGAAGCACATTTTCATATTTTATGTATGATCACTTAAAGGTTACAAAAGCAACTCTGATATGTGACTCATTGTCATTTTTATATAATTATAACAAGTTCATGAATTTCCTGATAAAAATAATGTTTCTCTTTTTAATTTCAGCTGAGGCATCATTTTCTTCTATTGTCTACAAGGCCTTGGGCCTCATTGGTCTGATAGCAATGGTACTTATTCTGGGCAGAAGACTGAACCGGGAGGACTCTGGAGTCCGTGAGTCCCCAGCAGTCAAGCGAAAGGTTCTGGAGATGGACAACAAGTCACTCAGTAATCATGAAGTGTTTGATTTCTCCTCCGGCCCCTGCCACTCCGAGAGCATTCTGCAGATGTTTAATGAGTTCCGTGACGGCCGATTGTTCACGGACGTGGTGATCAGTGTGGAGGGTCGTGAGTTCCCGTGTCACCGTGCCGTGTTGTCAGCTTGCAGTAGCTACTTCCGTGCAATGTTCTGCAATGACCACCGGGAGAGCCGTGAGATGTTGGTGGAGATCAACGGCATCCGTGCTGAAGCCATGGACACCTTCCTTCAGTACGTCTACACCGGACGTGCCCGCATCACTACAGATAATGTGCAGTTCCTCTTCGAGACCTCCAGCCTCTTCCAGATCAGCACTCTGCGTGATGCTTGTGCCAAATTCTTGGAAGACCAACTTGACCCCTGCAACTGCCTGGGCATCCAGCGTTTCGCCGACACGCACTCCCTCAAGCAACTGGCCAGTCGCTGCCGCTCTTATGCACTACAGAGCTTTACCGATGTGGCCCAGCATGAAGAATTCTTGGACTTGCGTAAGGAGGAACTGGAGGAGTACATCGCTAGTGACGAGCTAGTCATTGGAAAGGAGGAGACCGTGTTTGAGGCAGTGATGCGTTGGGTTTACTACGATGTGGACCACCGTCGAATCATGCTTAGAGACCTTCTCAACCACGTCCGACTGCCCCTGCTGCATCCAAATTATTTCGTGCAGACGGTAGAAGGTGACCAGTTGATCCAAAATGCACCAGAGTGCTATCAGCTCCTGCACGAAGCCAGGCGCTATCATGTCTTGGGCAATGAAATGATGTCACCTAGAACCCGTCCACGCAGGTATTACTGGCATCTTACCTTGGCATTTCCTGTGCCATGAAGGTCTTCATTAAATTTATCACCTAGAAATGTACACTGATGCAAGCACTCTATTAAGTCTCAGTCTTTACATACACTAAATCAGGGGTGTCCAATCCTGCTCCTGGAGGGCCGGTGTCCTGCAAAGTTTAGCTCCAACCCCAATAAACACACCTGAAGCAGCTAATCAAGCTCTTACTAGGCATACTCGAAACTTCCAAGCAGGTGTGTTGATGCAAGTTGGAGCTAAACTCTGCAGGACACCGGCCCTCCAGGACCGAGTTTGGACAGTGGACACCCCTGCACTAAATGCACCAAGCAGTTTAAACTACAGAAAAATTAACAAGTGATGATTGTAGGAAAGAAAAGAGTCTTCCGTGCCTTGCCAAGTCACTATCGAAGAGTTTGTTTACTATGACTTGACTTCAAATTATTGGCTGCCCCGAAACAAACAGAATCAAGCAAATGGTGGTTTACTAGTTATTAGTAGTTGTCAAGCTTAGTTGAAACACATTCTTATGTCCTTAAAGATCCCAGATACTTCTGGAACCTTTTTCAGAAAGGCTATATTATAGATTCAGTTATTCTCAAAACCTGACGGCAATGATTCAAGTGGGTGTTTGAAGTAACTTGAAGGTTTGTTTTGTACTCCGTAGTTGAGCATTGGGAAACCCATTGCTTTAATTTATGGATATGGAACAATCCAAGCCACATTGTAAGTACAGTGAGATGGAGCAAAAAGAGACGGCCCCTTCAGGCCCACTGTGTTGCAGAGCACTGAGGGAAAATAAAGTCTCGGCGGGGCATGCCCATACAAATTCTTCCTCCACAAGCTTCATAACACATAAACACCTGAGTTTCGAAACATGTTCCTGTTGACCTGATCCTGCTTGCAGTGTGAATGAACTCTTTGTTTTTGTTACGTCTGGAGGAACGTGAGGTGAGAGAGTGCAGAGGGAGGGGAAACTGCACACTTATGTTTTTCTCAGAGCTGAATGTATAGTGACCTGGAATCTGCCTGAACATGATTCGCTGAAGGATCTGCCAACGTTACAGGGCTTATTTATTAACAGCCTCATTATAGACTGCTTGCAGAGAGGTGTAGCACAGTCATTAATAACTGCAGCCCCAATCTCACGCGACCAGCGAAACATTGACAAAAGCTTGCTAAATATTCAAGCAAAACAAAAGAGGGTGCTTTGTTTACAACTCAACATACCTTTTTTTTTATTTATTTTGGTGATAAAAAAGGACACTCTCAAAACACCTCCTCAGCTTCACAGGGCCTTGTTAGAGTTTTCAGACGGGTGTCAGTTTATAGTTGGCAGAAAAGTTGTAGTTCCACCTCTGTTTCCAGGCAGATTTGGTATGGTTCTTAAGTTTGCATTATTGGATAGGGCCTGGCTGATCTCCCCTAATTATTCTCTGGGATTGTATAGGTGCGGCACATTTAGACTAATTACATCACACATGAAAGACTGATCTGAATTTTCCATGTTTGCATGAATTGACCAGGCGACTGGCTCAATTCGTTCTAATCTCTTTCCCCCGGAGAGTGTATTCAAAGTTCAACTCTAACTTTAGCGTCATCGCTTATGCACTCTCCAACCCCCTGAGCATTTACACAGCGAGAACAGTCTTCTAGGCAGATGATTTCAGGGGGAAAAAAACTTGGGGGAGTTAGTTCTGGATGAAATGTGTTTGCCTGTGGATTGGTTCTTGCATGCTCCGGGCACAAGTAGACGGTGTTGTTTACTGCTATTCTTAGAAGGGGTTCTAAACTCTTCTAATTTCTGTGTCACTGCAGAGAACAAATAGACCAAAAATTAAAAGAAAACAAAATGTAAACAATGAGTTGTGCAGTGCTAGATGTATTACAGAGTACTGATTAGAATGTGATCCCTTTCCATGTTTCAGTGCTATTAAGGATTTTCAGTTGTCCATGTGTCCAAGTTTGACATCCTGTCGTGTCCCTGCAGGTCTACTGGATTCTCAGAAGTCATTGTGGTAGTCGGAGGGTGCGAGAGGATGGGGGGTTTCAACTTGCCGTATACTGAATGCTATGATCCGGTAACTGGGGAATGGAAATCCTTAGCCAAACTCCCAGAGTTCACCAAGTCAGAGTATGCTGTGTGTGCCCTCAGGAACGACATTCTGGTCTCAGGTAAACATGGATATTTGTGATACCATTTCATGAATGCTAAATTGTTTCGCAGGCAGTGGTGGAAAGACATGACTTGGTATTCCTCCCTGTGCTGATGCATTTCCTATCGAGACATGAAGTAAAGGAAAATCAAAGGAAATATCAAAGCCCTTGTTCCTTTTTGAAAACGCCAGTAGGATGATTTGCTAGTATTAAGGGGAGGCACATCCTCATTCTAGACAGCATTTGGTTGGATAAAATGTTGCAAATCTTGTCAGTGCGATATGAGCTATTAATATTTTTGGTCTTGCATAGAAAGACCATATTCATTTTGAATGCATATATCTGCTAATTTTGTCAGTTTTTAGGGGTACATTAGCATATAGATGGCATCAAAGCTTACAGATACCCACAAAACTTGTTTAATTTTGTGAAGTGTTTAAAATGTAGATTACTCATTGTAAAATGAAAGATTTTTATATCTAATTTTTATCTAAGATTTTATATCTAAGGCTTGTCTGTATGCCCTTCATCTGTCAATCCTTTGTATCATCTGTCATTAATTTCTCAATTATTGTAGATGACCTAGTTTGATGTTTGCCTCCTGGCTGGCTTAGTCTGCGGGGATTTGTTAGACACAGCAGGGCACCACGCTTTACAGAGCAGCTCGCTTTGAACAGCAAGCAGGTTCAGCAAAAAGACTGTGAGACATGATTAAAAGAGACCAGGACTACCAGCTATCTCATGAGAAAAGACTGTTAGAGAGGGAGAGAGAGAGCAAGGGTGAGTGAGGGGGCTGGAATCCTGAGCGATCAGTTTACATTCTGCATGTGCCAAGCGCTCACGTGTTTCCATGAGAACAGTCCTGCTAGTTAAAACTTCTCTCTCTCTTTCTCTGTAGTTTCAACCTCCTTTAAGTTCATTCCTTCCCGACACATCTTGTTTCTTCTCCTTCTTCGAAGTTTGTTCAGTAAGCCAGGGCCAGGCAGGCTTTCCCAGGCATGAAGCCTGTATATGTGTCAAATATATATATATATTGTATGCGTCAAACTCAAGACTAAGATATGTGAGTCAGAAAATAATGGGAAATTGACATAATAGAAAGATGAGTTTCAGGTTGAGCAGCTTTGCTGAGTCCAGTGTGTTCTTTCCACACTGCCGGTGTTTCCTGAAGAACTGGAACAGTTTTGTAGATGTTTAGCTTTTGTTAGCATAATCACACAGATGCACATGCATTAACCTATACCAGTCAAATGTTTGGTCACATTTACCACTTACCCAGTCATTGTTTATTATTACTATTTTTACAATGTGTAGTTGTAGTTAAGACACGCAAACTATGAAATAATGGAAAAATGGTAGTATGGGAATTATGTGGTGACTAAATGAATGTTATACAAATCAAAACTATCTTATAATTTTAGTCCTTCAAAGTAGCTTAAATTACAGCTCTAGACAGTTTTTCAAACAACTTCATGAGGTGCATCCTGGGATGCTTTCTAAACCGTAGAATCCCAGACACTTGTTGGCTGATTTTCTTTACTATCTGGTGTAAAAATAAATAATTACATTAAATTAAGTTAAATACAATTATGTAAAATGTAATTAAAATGTTTATTTGTGAAGAAATGTATATATTATTAATGGATATTTTTGTACAAAACCTATTTTAAGCATTAAAATATCAAAGTATAAAATCAAACATAAAAATCTGCCATTGTTGTGAATGGTAGTGTATATGTAAATAATGAATGTGGATATTCATTGCGTTGCATAATTCTTTTCATAAGTACTTGACAGCATATTTCTGGTTAAGCTGGTCTCTAATAATATTGCTTCACTTAGAATTATCTCAGAACTGGAGCGAGATGTCTGCAATTATAGTTTTATTATTCACATATTCATGTGTTTATGTGAGATAACAAAGAACATTCACCTAGTGTGTCATGGGTCATTTACCTTCTTACATTATTGCATAAGTATTATAATAAGTGCATAGTGAGACATAAAATATTGGTTGTGACCAATTGGTGATGCAATTTCAGGTGGTAGAATCAACAGCAGGGATGTCTGGATGTACAACTCCCAGCTCAACATCTGGATCAGGGTTGCCTCCTTGAACAAGGGCCGCTGGAGACACAAAATGGCAGTTTTGTTGGGAAAGGTGAGTTCAGTCACTCCAAGATCTGTTCTGAAAGGCCTGCAGAAAGCAAAAACAATGCTAAATATAAATCATAAAAATGAATAAATATATTAACTTTTAAAAGGGAGGAGGAAACACTTTTTTTGACATCAAAGGCCATGCGCCCAATGAAACTAGAGCATTTTTGCATAAATTAGTTTTCAAAATAGATGCTAATGCTAATAGGTTGTTTAACATGCCTTCAACTATGAACAAAACTACACAAGGTAGACTATACACACTACATTTAATGCCAGTTGACTTGTAGCAAGGATAAACATGGTGTGCCTCAACCACAATGTGAATTGTGTGGTGAATTTTTGGCTGCAGAGCATGAAACCAACAAACTATTTAAGAGACATTTAGAAACCAATAATAAACCAATACATTCCAACTTTTAAGGGCATTTTTGTTGGCTTTTCAATAAATCCCATGATTTAAAGTGTTGGCTCAGTTAGTCATGCCACATGGAAGAAGACGACTTCCTGTTTAGATGATATACCTCTAACCATGAATAAGATTTCCTACATATAGAAATGGGTGTTGTTGGGGTATTTAACCCATATTTAGTTTTCAAACATGTTCCCATCCTTATAATTTATTGCCTGTTTGTCATTTACTGCTCTGTCATGTCTTGTCTTAGTTCCTCACTTTCAAAGCCTTTGTTTGTCCCTCTTTTCCTCCTTTGAACTTGTTCCTGGTTTTTATTAAACAGTGACATCATTTTTAACCTCTCCCTCGGAGGTGGTTTGCTTACAGTACAGTTTTTAATAATCAGTAACTGACGTTGAAGTGATCAGACATGTGAATGGCCCGTACCATAAAGGAACGACTCTGCCAAAAGTGTTTGGATCTGTATACTTAAGCTGATATTGCATCACTCCTATCAGGCTGTTTTCAACATTTTTTTTAATGACCATAATCGGCTCCAGAGATCTGATTTACTTTGGCAGGGGGTAAAACAGATTTGGTCGGTTCTGTTTGCGAAGGATCTGATGCATTTTATGGACTCAGTGAGGAACCAGCTCAAAGGTTCAATAAATCAAGAAAATCAATCTTGTGAATGGAATGAGCCGAGCCAACAAAAGCTACTTGTGCAATAACTAATTAACATGCCATGTAAGTTATAGCCAGCTGTCTGCATGAACGCCTCTTTCTCTTGGTTTGTTTGTTGGATGCTTTGTAATGCGGCTTATTCAGATATCTGCTAGAGTCTCTCCAGCTGATATTGCATCAACTCCTATCAGGCTGTTTTCAACATTTTTTTTAATGACCATAATCGGCTCCAGAGATCTGATTTACTTTGGCAGGGGGTAAAACAGATTTGGTCGGTTCTGTTTGCGAAGGATCTGATGCATTTTATGGACTCAGTGAGGAACCAGCTCAAAGGTTCAATAAATCAAGAAAATCAATCTTGTGAATGGAATGAGCCGAGCCAACAAAAGCTACTTGTGCAATAACTAATTAACATGCCATGTAAGTTATAGCCAGCTGTCTGCATGAACGCCTCTTTCTCTTGGTTTGTTTGTTGGATGCTTTGTAATGCGGCTTATTCAGATATCTGCAAGAGTCTCTCCAACTCTTTGTGTTTCTGTTCAGGCAGATAATAGTTTTGGACTCAAACTCATTTGACCCCAAAAGATTATTTGGGTTTGTTTTTGAGCAGCAGCCTTTCAGACATATGGATTGTTTGACTGTGGTTGGATTTATTGGTTATGAAAGATTCATGACTGACGGATGAAATCTAATCAACTGAAGTCACAACAACGAGACGTGGAAAAATCACGTTACCACAGGGTCATGCTGCAATAATGTGATTTGAGCTGTGCTGACACTGGTTAGATATACTGTATCTGATTATTGTGTATGTGTGATACAAAATTTTAATTAACATTTAAATGAAACTGATTCACACCGTCATAATATTAGCTTTTTCGCTTACGCACACAGTGAACAGGAAACTGAATTCCACTGAAGATGTTTTATAATCTTTGATGATGAAGCATGGTTTTTATAACTATTTTGTTGATATACCATCTTATCAGTCCCAGGCGTGAAAGGACTGTTTGAATAATATCTCAGTCTGAACAAAGAGCTCATCACAAAGCACATGGCTTTGTTTTGCGTAAGTGGCGTGTGGCCCCTCTGTGTTCGAGCATGTTCGTACACCGCTACTGGTCCGACTGGTTTTCTTGGTTGTTCCATTAAGGGGAACATGTTTACCTTCTTCTTTTTGAACAGCATGGAGACATGAGGCAGGAGAGAGAGAGGAGACAAACACTTCAGGGTTTTTGTGTTCCATGTGTTTTTATTTGAGAGTTAATGGGAAATTTCTCGAAATCTCTTTGGGGACTTAGAAAAACAAGAGTGATTGAGTGATGTGTTACAACACAGAACTGTCAACACTTTGCTAAGGTCTTGTTTTTGCAGTGGTGATGTTTTGGTCACATATTGGATGAATGAATGAATGAATGAATGAATGATGCATTTATATAGTGCTTTATTGTGTATTGTTGTACACCCAAAGCGCTTTACAATCATGTGGGGGGTCTCTCCTCAACCACCACCAGTGTGCAGCATCCACTTGGATGCTGCCAATGAGTCTTTTATTGACTGGTTAATAACCCAAGTCACAGAAACGCCTTCAACTGTAGTTTTAAACGGTCTTAAATTATTTATGCAAAACCTGATTTGCACACATCCACCCCGTTACCCCTATTTTGCTCTGCATGTAAACCTCTTTACGACTTATTTGATAAGGGCATATCTGTTTATGTTTTGACATTAAAACCAGAGAAAATCTGAAAACTGTAAACATGTTTTTCTTGCATTGTGGTTTTGTCTAATTAGTGCAACTCATTAAGGCTGAAATTACTGGAATAAAAAAATATTTCATAGTAGGCATAATTTTTTATTTAAAATATTAACCGTGAAGCAGAATTGATATAAAATATTGTCATAATTTTATTTTATTTTTTATTTTTTTTCCAAAAAAAAAAAAAGAATCAGTTCAGGTTTTTTAAATGTCAAATGGTATAACCCCATAAAAATCATCACATTCGATATATTATGTTTTATTTTAATAACGAACACACATTTGTTTTCGCTTAATGGTTATACCGCTTGACATTTTTTAAATCACTGTATCATTAAAACTATAGTTGTTCAAAATCTCATACTAAGCACATATATTTGATGAGGAATGAACTTTGCAACAGTTAAAAAGTACATTCTATATAGTATGAATGAAATACAGATGAAATACATTGGCCATGTTGTCTTTGTCATGGGACCTACTAGTGAGTTGCGTTGCTTCACTGGCATTCACATCTCCTCTCTTTACGCTGTTTTATGAACCCAATTAATTCATACATACTACTAATTCATTCTGGATGCTGCTGTTTATAAACTGTTTAGTAGGAAAGTAGGCATATTCGGATGCACAGTATTTTGTTGGAAATAGTCAAGAAAATTCTGACATTTCTAAGAACCTTTCACATGCGTGTGATTTTTATTTTTAATTTTTTTTCCCTTATCTTAATCTTAGACTTTCTACAAAGTTTTTCAAAGTACCTGCCTCTGGTTACTCAAGAGTAAACCGGAAGAGTCTTAACCGCTGGCACAGTCAGAAGTGAAGTGTTCACCTCATGACTATTTATAATGCATACTCAGTTGGATATAGAATTTCCTGTGAATGGCCATTTGTCTTCAAGATGTATGGATCAGGTTTGTTTAGTCCACTTACGTAATAAAAAAAGCAGGTATAATCATAGATTTGTTTTGTCACTAATGCAGTGGTAGCCTCAGGGTTTGTGCATGTGCGTGTGTCTATAACAATCCCTTTGTCATTACATCAATTTCAGAATTCTGATATGAAAGGGTAAACAGTTGTTCCTGTTTGGCTAGATCTACATGCTTCGTTTCACCTCCAGATTGTGTCATCCACAGAAATGTCATGTGTACAATTCAAAACAGACAAAACATCTCATACTAAGCACATATATTTGATGAGGAATGAACTTTGCAATAGTTAAAAAGTACATTATTTTGTTGGAAATAGTCAAGAAAATTCTGACTTTTCTAAGAACCTTTCACATGCGTGTGATTTTTAACGTACGTTTGAACGTACCTACATTACACAACACTAAGATGTATTGTGTATGGGCCCATAACTTAAATTGTATTTATCTACAGGTGTATGCCGTTGGTGGATATGACGGTCAATCACGACTAAGCAGCGTCGAATGCTACGACTCTTTCTCAAACCGCTGGACAGAGGTGGCATCCATGAAGGAGGCTGTCAGCTCACCAGCCGTCTCCAGTTGTGTCAACAAACTATTTGTGATTGGAGGAGGACCTGACGATAACACATGCTCAGATAAGGTTTGTTGAAGAGTATGATGCATGGTGCTGAGGAGAAGGGCGTCTTTGAAAACCGCCCTCTGCATGTCATTGTGCATTTACTGCATGTAAACATCACGTTTATTTTTGGGTCACGCTACTGGAGGGTGTGACACGCTTTGTTTTTGAGTGTAGTCATCTTGGGATTTCTCACAGTGCAATGGACCATAACCCAGCCACAGTAAATAAAAGAGCTCTGATTATATAGTTTCACTTGAGCCTGAAATGAAGATGGACACAGTTTTTGTTTTATCCAGCTGTATTTACTCAGTGCAACTTATAACATCCAAG